CAGGGTTAGCCACTTTGCTCCGAAAAACTGAGAAAAACACCTGAGAACCATCTTTTTCGAGCATTTCTTTGCCGCCGGGTGGCCTTGGCGCGCCGCTAGGAGTATCGAAGCGGAATGGAATGATATCCGTCCTGAAACGGGGCATACTGTATCCACCTGAGGGGTCCCGCCGCGAACAGGAATGGAAGGGAGGAGATTGGCCTTGAGATGTCAGCACCGGGAAATTGAGGTGGGGCCGCAGGGATCCTTGAGGATGGGCTAAGCGCTAGGGCTAGATAAGGTAAAAACGAAGCCGGAAAAAGGCTGAACTAGCTTAAGAAACTTGAGCTGAAGCCAAACTTCAACAGGTTAAGCCCAGTCAAACAAGCCTAAGCATAAACCTAACATATGCCTAAGCCTACGCCAAGCTTAAGTATGCCTAGGCCGAAGTCTAAGCCTAAGCCCAAGCCTAATCCAAGCCTAAGCCTGAGCCTGAGCCTAAGCTCACAAGGGAAGTGCACGACCGGCCCACGAGAAATCGACACGAGACATAGTGGATCTGATAGAATCGGACACGGGGATCCCGAATCTGTAATCAGAATTTGCTAAATAAAACGGAGAAAAAAGTTATGAAGCTTCAAAGTTGGGCAATTCGCCAAAAACCGTACCTTTAAGGGCCCGTAAGAACAGGTGGAACGGAATTGAGGAGAAAAGAATTCGTGCAGCTTGTTCAGCAGAAAAAGCGCTTTCGAATGAGCTGTAATACGTAGCATTTGCAAACAATTCACTGAAAAAAGTTTTTTTTGGATTCACGGGCAAGGGTATGGCCTGTCAAGTTCATAGAAGAGATTTTCGCGAAATCATCGTAAACTTGTAGTAAGATAGCTCATTCGAAAGCGCTTTTTCTGCTGAACAAGATGCACTAATGGGTTGAGGGAAATTTCCATTCTCCGGGCCTTTACAGGCCCATAAAAGTCCGATTTTGGGCGATTTTGCCAACTTTGAAGCTTCATAACTTTTTTCTCCGTTTTATTTAGCAAATTCTGATTACAGATTCGGAATCCCCGTGTCCGATTCTATCAGATCCACTATGTCTCGTATCGATTTCTCGTGGGCCGGTCGTGCACTTCCCTTGTCAGGCCTAAGCAACCTAACGAAGCACATCGCAAGATCAAGACGAGTTAGGTTTTCTCTCCCACTCTATCTCTCTCTCTCTCTCTCGCTTCCCTCTCCCTCTCTCTCCCTCTCTCTCTCTCTTTCTCTCCTTGCGCGCTCTCTCTCCCTCTCTCTCTCTCTCTCTCTCTCTCTCTCTCTCTCTCTCTCTCTCTCTCTCTCTCGCTGTCCCCCTCTCATTGCATCATGCATATCCCGATCTTTGCCCTCAACAACAGCTGGCTCCCTGCCAACGTGTCTGTCCAGTTGAGTGAAAAGGGGAGGTGGAGTAGCCAGAGGCGAGCCGCCAGGAATTTCTTTTCCCCTTTCCCGCACCTTGCAAATAAGTGGGGGAAGATAAGCATTTCGCAACCTATCTCGCCCCGACAAACTCTCCACCGCTTGCTCCCGCTCAAGTGTAAACCTAAGCCGATTTTCGGGGGCTATTGCTTGACCTGAATTGGCCAAAAAATCGAATCCTGATCGTCTCTTTTTGCAGAAATTCCATTGAATTCCGTTATAGAAATTTGGAAAGAACGCAGCGAAGCTACTAAGCTAGCTAGCTACTATTAAATATGAAGGTCCTTATTTACATACCGACCAACTACCAATAATATTAAAGATACCCACAACACAAGAATCCAAAGCTACTCTCATTGTGTCGCGCATTAATAGTCACTCAGACTTTAAAAAACCCTATTTTTTACCATCTACCGTAACCGAACCTCCCTTTGAGAAGTCATGTGGAAACTCCGAGGCGACAAACCCTTCTCCAATTTTGGAGCGCAATTTGGGGACGCCAAATAGCACGCAGCGGCCCGGTCACTGCGATAATTGTTTGACGTAGATGGGGCGGTTAATAGGATGTGCAAAGCTCAGGAATACGGCTGAGGAGTACTGTATCGGATTCAAATGAGATAATTTTGCTTGCAGCTGTTATTAGTGCAAACCTGGATTCTTGGGCTTTGATGAGCACCTGACACAGATAGCGTAGCACATTGCTAATAGCTTCCATTAGCCTGAATTTTGACGGCACCATCCCTTTAAATTTCGCACTCAGCTAAGCCGCTATAATCCTGTGCCAATTGAGGACCCCCATTCAAGGATTGGCGCTTTTTACTGGCAGGTGATTTTTTGGATTGCTCTCTCTCTCTCTCTCTCTCTCTCTCTCTCTCTCTCTCTCCCACCCGATCTGTGTATGTATTCAGGTGTTCCTAGCAACCCGGTGCCCACCAAGGGGCCAGGGGGCCTTTCCATTCCTCGGCAATTTTCAGGCAACCCCTTTCCGGAATTCATTGTGTTGTTTGGTGCAAAGAGTAGCCGGCCGGAATTTTGATGAAAAGCCTGCAAAATTGGAGAGTTTTGAGGCCAGATTCGGATTTTATGTTTCTAAAGCGAGAGAGAAAGGGAGAGAGATAGACAGGAGAGAGAGAGAGAGAGAGAGAGAGAGAGAGAGAAGGGGAGAGCAAAAGCAAGATAGAAAACACTTTAATACCAATTTGACAGCTTCTATCAGCTCGACAAAAGTTTCTTTCTCTCTCTCTCTCTCTCTCTCTCTCTCTCTCTCTCTCGCTTCCTCTCTCTCCCTCACTCTCTCTCCAAACCCAATTTTCCTCGTTCACCCAAACAACCAACCCGTTCGTTCCCCCTTTGGTGACTCAGTGGTGTCCATTCGGGTTCCATTAAAGGCGGCCACTGGGCCTTCTCTTGGGCCCTAAGGCCATTGATCCTGGGCCCCTAGAGGGCCCATCCCATCCCCGACACCAGTGCCACCCCCACGTAGCACGCACTACCCCATTGGACTTCACTTTTTTGAGGGGTTATGGGATTTGGAAGGCAAAAAGGTTATCATGGCTTGCTCAAGGTTTCCTCAAAAACCTTTGCTAGCCTGCCCTCGCTTCCTCAATGATCTCTGTTAGCCTGTCTTATCTGCCCCTGAATATTGGTCAGTTTTGGATACGTATTTCTGGTTCAAACCCGTGATATTGGGTTCTGAAGTGGCCCTTATCTCAATGTATCTTTTCCCTTTGTCTGTCTGTCTGTCTATTTCTCTCTCTCTCTCGCGCGCTCTCTCCCTTTCTGTTCATCGCTTTCACAAGCCATTCTCATTTTTGGCGCTCCCGCAAGTCATTTCCTACCCTTTCCAAGCTTTTTTTTGCAAATTATTAGTTCGCTTCCCAAAGAATCTCTGCTAGTTTGCCTCCACTCTGGCCTGGCCGATTTCAAGGAGTCGCCCGCACTCTCGCTCGCATACAGCGCCTCAATGCCGTCATATTTGTCGAGACTCTCACAGAATAATTTGCATTCCAGAAGAGAGAGAGAGAGAGAGAGAGAGAGAGAGAGAGAGAGAGAGAGAGAGAGAGACAGTAAAAAGGCGATGTCTCACGATCCGAGCGATCATCGATTTGCCCCCTTCTGCCGGTTCGCTTCAATTCCCGACAAAACATCCGACCCGGTCACTATGAGCACCCGGCCGAATAACAGATTCCATTGTTTTGCGGGTTTTTTTGAGGGGTTTTGGAGTTCCTTATGGATCTCTGCTATGCCTTCAAGCTCTAAAAGCCATGGCTAATTGAGGGGTAAGTTTGCAGGGATTTTTGAGGAAATCGAGACGAACATTAGACTAGCGGGTCAATCGATCCTCAAGCATCTAGAGAACCTAGTAGCTCTCATTTTTAGTTACCAATCCCTTTAAGCCTGAATGATCTCTGCTAGCCTGCCCGAAGCGTTTGAAACAGTTTTTGGCTTCCGAGTCCATTTAAAAGGAAATGTCCCGTCAACAGGACAGTCACGTAGTCGGAAAGGCGCTTAATAGAGCCACACGTCATTTAAGCTTTTGTCTGTCTGTCTGTCTCTCTCGCTCTCTCTCTCCCCCCTCTACAATTCGTCGACCTGTGCGGGAAGGGCACTTGGAAGTCATGAACAGGTTTTCGGTGAACGTATTGATCCGTTCCACTCCTCTATACACCCACCCCTGTGCCGAATCGCCCCCATTTTTTTGCGGGGGATGTTCCCCCTACCCTCTCCCGCATCACGACGATTTGTGGATGCAAATTGGCCACCGCCACTGGTCAGCCCGCTCGATCCATCAATGCTTTTTTGGCGAGTCACCGAGTGGTTCGTGTTTTGGGGTGATTTGTGACTGTTTTCTACCGTTTTTTTCGCTCTCACTCTCTTTCTCTCGCTCTCGCACTATCTCTCTCTCTCTCTCTCTCTCCCTCTCCCCCTCTCTCTCTCTTTCTCTGGCTTTCTAGATGTCTCTAGGCGTTGTGAAAAATCTCTACAAAAATCTCTGCTAGCCTCCGATGCCAAGCCAACCTCAATCCTAAATGATCTCTGCTAGCTTGTCTAGGTTTTCCTGCTCATTTTCGGATTAATAAGCCCTGAATTCCGGTCTTTTCCAGGCTATTTTTCACCCTTCAGAGTTTTTAAAATTGTTTCTATGCCTATCTCTCTCCCTTTCTCTCTCTCGCACTCTCTTTGTCTAGATATCTCGATTCACTCTCCATTTTCCAGGTCTCCGACCTCCTTGGGTGCCCCATTTCGTGGGCCCAAACCGCCTAGAAGACGATCTAGAAACTGAAGAAGATCGCAAAAAGACAAATACACAACATACCAATGCTCAGCTCGACAAATACGGTATCAACCAGCCTCGGCATGACGCCACCCGGTAAGGATCTAACCAAGCGCCTAGCCAACGACTTCAAGCCGTTCGGGCTAATAAGACTTGGCAAAAAGGCAAAATTGCTAATGGCTCTTTTTCATGTTGCTGCGAAATTAAAAGCCCGAACGCCTTGAGGCCATTGGAATTTATGGAAATTTGGCTTTCTCGTGAAGTTCAAGGCGTTCAACCCCAGTTTTCAGGCACCATGGCGCCGGTGGAGACGAAATCAGCACCGGCTTCTCCCCAGCATCACCATCAGCACCATCATCATCTACAGCAGCCGATGATGCCCATCCCCGCCGGAAAGAAGGAGGGCCTCGGCTACGCTTCCGGGCTGCTGAATCCTATCTCATCATGCTTCAGCTTCATCTTGCCAGGAATATTTAGGAGGCCGCAGACCGATTCTATGTGAGTGGTAGCCTAAACGCCTTAGCCTAAGCATAAATCTAAGCCTAATCCTAAGTCTAAGTCCAAGCCTGCTCAACCTGAAGCTCCCTTGGGAATTTCTCAAGAACCTCTGCTAGCTGGGAAAAAATGCCCTTTTCAGTGCCTCCTACACCGGCGATGATTGGGAGATCCCGTTCGAATCTATCACCAACTTGGAGTGGCTGGGCGCCGGTTCACAGGTGAGTTCCGGAATCAAAGCGGTAGAACACCCCACAGAAGCCGCAGGATTCGGAATCCTTCTAAATTTGGAATCTAGTTGAAAATATTTGAATTTCTAGGGCGCCGTCTTCACGGGAAAGCTGAACGCGCAAGTGGTGGCGGTCAAGAAGGTAAAAGAACTTCGGGATACCGAGACGTCCCACCTCCGCCATCTCGCCCACCGCAACATCGTCAAGTTCATGGGGGTGTGCACACAGGCGCCGTGTTTCTGCTTGGTGATGGAGTTCTGCTCCAACGGGCAGTTGAACGAGCTGCTGAGCGGGGGTCAGCCGATTCCGCATCAAAGATGGGTGGATATGGCACGACAGGTGGGGGAATCGATATCTCTCGCTCTACCTCTCTCAATCTCTCTTTCTCTCTCTCTCTCTCTCTCTCTCTCTCTCTCTCTTTCTCTAACACACGCTCTCTCTCTCTCTCTCTTTCTCTAACACACGCTCTCTCTCTATCTCGGCCTAAAAGATCCTGAACTCCTTGAACTTGACGGCCACCTAACACCTCTGTTTTCCACTCCCTACGCTTTGAACTTCTTGAACATGACGTCATTTCAGGTAGCCGCCGGCATGTCCTACCTCCACGCCAACAAAATCGTCCATCGCGATCTAAAATCCCCAAATATCCTCGTCGCCGGCGACGGTACCATGAAGATCTCCGACTTTGGCACCTCCCAGCATTGGAAAGGAGAACGAGACTCCGCACTCATGTCCTTCTGCGGTACCGTCTCCTGGATGGCCCCGGAGATGATCAAGAAGGAGCCTTGCTCCGAGAAGGTCGACATCTGGTCGTTCGGTGTCGTCCTGTGGGAGATGGTGACGTGCGAGCTGCCGTATCGAGGTATCGACTCGATGGCTGTGCTCTTTGGAGTCGGGTCGGGGAAGTTGGCGCTGCCCATGCCGACAATGTTGCCTGATGGATTGAGGATGTTGATACAGCAGTGCTGGTCGCAGAAGCCAAGGAATAGGCCGTCATTTCAGGTATGTGAGACAGGGGAGAGACAGCGAGAGAGACAGCGAGAGAGCGAGGGGGAGAGAGAGAGAGAGATTAGCGGGCTGATCATGATCCCCACGTTTTCAGGGCGTCCTCCAACACCTCGACATCCTCGGCAACGAGCTGGCGGGATGGGGAGAAGCCAAGTGGCAACAGAGATATGAGGGCTGGAAGGCAGAAGCGCGGGCTATCAAATACCCAGAAACCCTGCAGGGACACCCCGGAGAACTCCGAGCCCATGACGAACAGGAGCAGATCAGGAAGCGCAAGGAGGAACTGAAACACGCACAGGATATTCGTGTAATGTATGAGACCAAATTCCGAAGGTGCAACCGGATGTACCAAAAGCTGACCACGCTGCTCGAGGAGCTGGACGTCCGGGAGAAGGTTAGTTTTTAGAACACTCTAGAATCGGCGTCTACAATTTGCGGAAAGCCCGAACAGCTTGAAGTTCTTGAATTTCTAGTTGATTTGAACTGCCGTCAAGAGCAAGGCGTTTACTGAATTTCTTATAGGTTTGGTCATTGGTGAGGAACCAGTATTTGTGCTAATTGTTAGTTAAGCGGCTTGAGGTTGAATTAGTCAAATTCAATTCGGCCTCAAGTTCAAGGTGTTCACCCAGTTTTTTGCTATAACCAGGGTTGAAAAGCCGCTACGCGGCTTTTCACCCCTGGCCCCGTCTTGGCCCCATGATATTCTACACTTTGCATAATTCCACCCGCCTGCGAGGAGTAAAAAATGAAAAGCGCTCGTCTCCGCCCTTTATATAGGCTCTCCCCACTTCCGGTGTATGCTAATTGATTCCTAACAAAGAGGTAGAGCGCGATTTTCATAAAAACCTAATTTTAATAGCGAAAACAGCGGATTTTCGAAACCCTGTGATGTGTGCACTCGTGTCATGACCATTACGCACCTAATGACGTATCATACATACCCGTAGCTTCCTCCTTTATTGAGATACGACTGGAACATCCGGACGGAAGTTGCATGCAAATGCACACACACACACACACACACACAGACACTATTTTTTTATATATAGTAGGATTCTGTAGCTTTTAAACACCATTTTTTCAGGAACTCCTCGGCCGAGAGCGAGATCTCGCCATCCGGGAGGGACGGCACTATAGAGGTGGCTCATTTTCGGGCCCGCTTAACCACCGCGGGGCCGTCGTCGTCCGCGCAGGGCCGAGAAGTCATCGAGGGGAGGCGACTGCCGAGTAGGTTAAGGGTAGAAAACAAGAATTAAGTGTTTTTAGCGTCTTCTCCACGCACGTTGCCCATCCTTCGCTGTATGGGGCTGACGATGGGATGTCGTCGAGCAGCGGGGAGGAGCAGGTGGAGGATGAGATCGATGGATCTCCGGATATGAGGAGAGGGTCGCCGTATCGATGCAGTCAAGCTAGCAGGTAAGGAGAGAGCGAGAGAGAGAGAGAGAGAGAGAGAGAGCACAAGAGGGAGAGAGAGATTGAGAGAGAGAGCCAGCGCAAGAGAGACCGCGAAACCTACAAACACCTTCCAGCTGGTCCGGCCACCCCTCATTCTCACGCCAGTCCTCCCTCCGATCCTCCCAAGGCCTCCGCCCAACTCGTCCATCCCCACTACGTCCCCACAATGCTTCAATGTCACGTAAGTCCTACTTTCAAACGGACTAACATCTTCAACAAGTACCTCGAGTAAACCCTTACCTTTAATTTTTCAGCAAGCCTTGCCCGCGAGAGCGCGATGCGCCACTCTTCCTCGTCTCAACAATGGTCAGAATTCGCGCGGAACTGCCCGGCACGACACTCTGGATTCTCGGAGGACTCTGGGATCCAGCTGGGGCCATCGAGGGTCAACTCTTGCTCAATCCTGGAGGAGACCGGACCCCTGACGCCTCAGCATCCATCGCTGCTGACGAGGGCCCATGAGGGGAGATGGTCGGATGGGTCGGCGAGGAGGAGGACCAAGAGACCGAGGGATGCCTTTAGACGGGATTCACCGGCTAGGTTGCCGCAAGGTTGGTTTTAAGCAGAAATTCAAGCAAAGCTCAAAAACGTACTAAGCCTAAGCCTATGCCTATGCCTAATAAAAAACCAATTTAGTCCGCCACAACCGCGACAAGGAGAAGCGCGCTTCATGCCCAGTACAACTTCCGGAAAGGGAACTGTCTGTCGTCAGCCAACAATCCGACACCATCTACGACAATTATGATAGGTAGGAAACCCCTCGCTCTAGCTCTCTCTCTCTCTCTCGCGCGCTCTTCTCTATCTCTCACTCACTCACTCACTCTTTCTCTCGCTCTCCTCTCTATCTCTGTCTTACTCACTCACTCTCTCGTTCTCGCCCTTTCTCGGCGAAAGATTGAAGTTATGGGCTTACTTCAGGTCCGCCAGCGTCGCCCCATCCTCTTCCTACGATGAAGCTCTAGCCAACTATGGCTCGACAGCCACCCTTCCGCCTGCCTTGTCGAACGCGATGTCATCTACCTCGGTCTCGACGATCCCATGCCGACCACAGCCGCTGCCGCCGTTTTGTCCGGGAGGAACTGGGTAAGTTAGGATTTGCCGAGGCTTATGCTAAGGCTTAGGCCTAGACTTGCGCTTTGGCTTAGGCTTAATCCCCGAACTTACCAACCTCCCAATTCCAGATACTCCAACCCCCTCTACGCCTCCCCGATCTCAACCTACGAGAACCCTCTCGTCGACCCAAGCAACTTACTCCGCGTCCATCCAAACGTCGATCTGGCTTCTTCTATAGACAGGTACGAAGACTATCCTAGCCCCTCATCTTCAAGCCGTTCAGCAACAACCCCGGGCGCCCGGAAGACCTGCGAGATTCCGACTCGGATGCGAGTGGCGAGAGTTCATCAGAAGCCGAGGGAGTGGAAGGAGGAGACGTGGGAGACCGAGAGAATGGCAACATCTTCGAGTCGAGCCTCGACTCCAACAGGGCGTCAAATACCTTCAGGCCTGATGAGGTGACGGCGGTTGAGAAGAGGTAAGTGATAGATTAAGCATGAAGCCAAGCTTATGCCTGAGCCTAAGCCCATGCGAAAGCCGAGTGAACTTGCCGTTAACAGTACTTTTCAGGCATCGCGAGCTGATGCTCCTCGAGTCCTCCTCCATGGCCTCATCGTTGGAGCGCTCTTTGGAGAGGTCGCTCGAGATGGCGGCCATTCATTCGGATGGATTGTCGGACCGCGAGACTGCACTCCGGCGTGTTCAACGGACGATAAAGACGCATCGTCGTACTCACTCGGTAGGTCTCACTGTCTCTCTCTCACTCTCTCTCGCTCCCTCTGTCTCTATCGCTCTCGCACTCTCTCCTTCTGCCTCTCTCTCTCTCTCTCTCTCTCTCTCTCTCTCTCTCGCTCTAACTCACTCTCTCTCTCTCGCTCTCTTTCTCTCCCTTTCTCTCTCTCGATTTCTCTGACACTCTCTCTCACGCGCGCCCTCTTTATCGCTCTACCTCACTCTCTCGCCCTCTTTCTCTCCCTTTCTCTCTCGCTCTTTCTTGCTCTCTCTGTCACTCTCTCGCGCCCTCTTTATCGCGCTCTCAATCGCTCTTTTTCCAGGGTGGCCAACCCGTCCACATGGCCATCGTCGACGAGACGTCCACCGAGAGCGACGAGAGCGAGGCAGTCGCGTGCTAAAATGTGCTCAATTCCCCGGTTACAGTACCCCCATATCGTAATCCCCATTAATTTCGCTTTTCTATGTGCATAATTGCATATTTTCTATTTTTGTTCATTTTATTTGTCCATTTCTTATATATTTTTTGCAGTTTTTGCCAATTTTCTATGCAACGACCCTCCGAGATTACGGTCTGTACTCTGTAGTCTGTAGTTTTCCGTACTTTTTGACTACTCTGTACTCGCGACAAACTCACGGGATTCCCCCTTAAACGTTGCCCCCACCTACCGTACTCCTTGCCGCTGTTGTTTTGGTGTTTTTCGGCCCAGATTTTGCTGATTTTTATGAGCCAGTTTTGTGAAGACTTTTTTGATTAATTTTGATAAATTAAATATATAAAAAATAGCTGTATTTTAATCCAAAAAGCATTTTAAAGGGGCATGGAAACGAGGCAAAAATCAACAATTTATTATTAGCATTCAAATTGCACATCAATGAGGTGGGGGTAGCGGATTATTAGGGGGAGGTGGAGTGTACGGTACGGTACGTTACAGTACGTTACAGTACGTTACAGTACGGTACCGGAATTTCTGAATACAGTAATCAACAGCAAAAATATAGTAAGGCAACCAGATCAGGAATTTTGCGTTTTTTGAAAGACGACGGCAGGAGTATGGCATCGGAGGATTGGCGGCAAGTGTTTTTTACCCGTTTAGAGAGCGACTAAAAATTTGAATTTTAGTAGAATTAAGGTTAGTCAGGAAATTGTCATTTTTGAGATTTTAAAGAGGGTGTGACAGCTGTTTAATCGCGCAACTAAACGACACTGTCCCTTTAAAAACGTGAAAGCCAAGAAAGTAAAAAAAATGCCCAAATTTTCTCTGTTAGCCAAGCTTTAAAGGGAGTAGGACAGTGTTTGCATGCGATTTCCTTAGCTGTCGTCATCCCTTTAATAGTCAAAAAATGGCAAATTTCCTAAACTTTCCCTGCTAGCCGCCTCTTCAGGAAATGTGAAAGGCTTTTTCACGCTACAGCTTGAAGACCTACCCTTCCCTGCTCCTCAAAGTTCTCTGCTAGCCTGCCTTCAAACTATAGTCAACTAGCAAAGACCCTTTCGGAATTTCCCTGCCCTTAATGCGTAGATACCTACCAAACCCGGCTGGGGCCAAGGCTCGTTGCCGGAAGTAGGCTCGATCCGTGCGGCTGGGCACTTCGTATTCCGGCTAAAAAGGGTGTTAAAGGGATTTGGACTCGAAATTTGACCTCCTCTTCCGGAACCGACGGTCTCAGCTTTATCGTTTGCCGGGGGTGTGGATCCCTCGCCGGGCAGACACCTCCTTTGCACGGTCGGCTTTGGTAGGAGGGGCCTGAAAGTGGAGTTTGCGTGACTTTGCGTAACCTAGCGCAGGCTAGAGTAATGTCGCGGATTCTACGTAACGGAGTGCATCTTAAGGTTACCGAATGTTGCAAAGAGTCATGAAATTTAACGCCGCGTAACGTAGCGTAACGTACAGTAACGTAGCGTAACGTAGCGTAGCGCAACATAATGCTTTCTGATAGCGTAACGTAGCGTAGCGGAATGTAGCCTAACGCTGTGTCTCATAAATTAGCGCAACTTTGTGTAGCCTAGCGTATCAACACGTAGCGTAGAATAGCGTATAGAAACGTAGCGTGATGTAACGTAATAATGGGATATCTTATCGTAACGTAGCTATCAAGTAAAATAACGTAGCGTAACGTAGCGTAGCGATTGCCTACCTTCACACCCAATCGTCGTGACGCCTTCCACATAGTCACAGGCCCGTGTTCGGACCTGATTTCCGCAGAAGCACTTGCCCCACACTGACCACGGTTTCCAGGTTCCGGCTGAAAATTGGGGGTCTGAAATGATCTCTGCTAACTTGCCAAGTCCGAATTTGTCAAGGCAAGCTAGCAGAGATCTTTGAGGAAAGTTTTTATTCATCTGGGCAAGCTAGAAGACGCCATTTGTGAGATATTCAATCAATTACCGGATCCAATTTCCGCTACAGGGCCATCCGAGAAGATCAGCGGCTCATTCTGGTGTTGCTCCTGAAAAAAAGGTCGTTGAAAAATTCTGTTCTATTAAAGTTAATTATGCTTAAAATTAAAGAAATATGCACATTTTAAAACATACAATAATTCCAATAGAAGCGCCTCTTTGAACCTCAAAGCCCCGCCTCGGCGCCAGCTCCAGATCCATGGCATTGGTGTGCTAAAGGGTGGCGAAACTACAGTTTGCCTGGGTTACCGTACCCTGAGCACTTTTTCGCCCATAAATCGATCACCGTCAAGGCCTGGGTTTTCAAGATCGTCTCTGGAAAGAGAGTTAGAGAGAGAGAGGCGGGAGAGTGAAAGACAGACAGACAGTGAGAGAGCGGGGAGAGCGAGAGAGAGAGAGAGTGACAGAGATCACCAACTTCTTAAATTCCTCCATGGCGACTCGTGCCTTCTCCTTCTTGGCCCCGACGAGTTTCAGCTAAAATTGACGGATAAATTGACGGATTTCGTCTTGGTACCTCTTTTTCTATACTTCCCATTAATGCCTGCAACTCGTCGATCTCGTCGATCAACGCCTGGCCGGCTGGGGATTTCTGGAAAACGGCGAGCTAGCACAGATTATTAGGGAAGCGTCAGGATAGGGGAACCCATGTAACGCATCGTACTTTTGCGAAAATTCAGGGAGTTCGATGCGTAAACTCGCGTTTCTTTACGTAGCTGAACGCAAAGTTGTGCCTTGGCAAGCTAGCAAAGATTCTTGAGGAGACGTAGGTAGTAACGTAACGTACCCTGCGTAACGCACTAATGGTGTACCAAATTAGCAAAAACCTCAGTAGCTGTACCGCGTGGCGTATCGTATCGTAGCCTAGCGTACCATTAAGCGGCTGGTAAGCTAGAAAATACTCTGGGGAAAACGTCAGTAGTTGGGATGCGTAGCGTAAGGTATCGCATCTTAACGTAATATAGAGCTAGCAGATACTTTTGAAACAAACGTCAATGGTTGCTATTCGTAACGCAGGGTATCGTAGCGTAGCGTAATACTATTGGGTTAGAAAACCAGCAGACGTTTGAGCCAAGCACAGTTGTTGCACGCGTAACATTACGTATCTCTGCGTAGCCTCGCTACAACCGTAAAAAATTACCTGAACCGGAAGCTGTCGAGCGGCGAGCGCTCTACGTCCATCGTAGCCTCCCGTGTTTTTGTGCTCACTTTGCTGGGTGACCGCTTGGATCTAAACGGGCCGGCTAGCGGAGATCATTCAGGAATTGTTGCCAAAGCTTAAGTTTAAAAAGTGCTCCACAAACTCGTCAGTGCATTAATCGACACAAGGATTACGGTATGTAAGTTGGAAACCTACCGTAGCCCCATCGCCCCCCTCGACCTTTGGATAGTGCGCTTTCGACAGTCCCCGCCACGGCTTCTGTTAGTGAAATTGAAGCATTATAGCAGCCGAGATTAGAGCATGATTTTAGCGGATTTTTAAGGCTTTTAAAAGTTAAATTTTCGAAATTTAAAAATTATAAAATTTTATACGGGATTAGAAAAGCATTTTTAGTACAAGCAAAACCAAGCAATGCCAAATGAACCTTCATAGCTCCTTTAAGACGCACCAAAATTAGCTTTTATATCTATTCAAAACTACCTTCCTCCTGCTCAACCCGGGCGGCCTTTTTTGCAGCTTTTTGCGCCCGATTTTTGGCTTCATCTCGCCGTCGTGCTAAAACAGCCAAAGTTTGCATAATATCGAATCTGCTCCTGAAATCGGATCCAAAAATCAAAATTTCCAAAATATCGAGATGTTCGCAAAAAAGCCTAAAATTCGATATTTTCCGAAGCCGGTTTTCAACTTTTATCTTTTTAAAGTCGAAATTCCGGAAAGTTTTTCGAAAATCTCGCAATTTAGGTAATTTTAGATTCTCAAAATCGGTATTTTTGTAGAAAATTGAAGAAAGTCACAATTTCTGAAAATGTTCGAAATTGGGCATTTTTTTGAATTTCTGTTCAGAAAATTGAAGAAATTTGGTATTTTCCAGTCACCTTTCAAATTCGGCATTTTTCGGTATTTTAGCAAAATAGCGTTTTCTCATAATTTTAAGCTAAGCCGACTACCGTAGGCCCCAGTTACCGTATTCCCTTACCTGCGGCGCCCAGCCATGCTGACGTCGATGAGCATTTGTCGGTGCCCCGACCTAAAAATGTCACATTAAACAAGGCCTCCTAAAACCGCAAAATTAAGCATTTTTAGCGTAGCGAATATGAAAAGAATTAGAGCACCGAGCACCAAAAATATGAGAAAAAATTATTAAAATTAGCGAAATGATAGAATTATGGCGATGCGATTAAGGGATTGGGTACTGCGTTACCGTACCTTTTTCGAGATGCCCTGAAAAGTGGTAAATTACGAAGATGTGAGAATTGTATTTTCTAGGCTGAAATTCTTACCGGCTTCTTCTTGCTGATACCGTAGCTGACGCGGCGGGTTCCCTAAATTGAAAATTATTGCATGTAAAATAACGTTAAAAATTTCCACGAATTTTTCTGCTAATTAGCCCCAGTTTTTCCGCAAAGAACCGCTGCTAGATTGCCGCGATTTTTCCCCAAAGCGCCTCTGCTAGTTCCCCCTTGTCGGCAAAGTCTTTCTGCTAGTTTGCCCAATTTTCCTCAAAGTTCTTGCTAGGCTTCTTAGTCAGGCGCAAACGTTCCTCCTTGCCGGATAAGCCTAAGCCTAATATTAAGCCTAAACCCAAGCCTAAGCCTAAGCCCACGCCTGAGCCTAATCCTAAGCCTAAGCCGAAGCCGAAGCCTATGCATGAGCATAAACTCAAACTAAAGCTCAAGCACAACCTCTAGATAATCAACATTCAAAACCTACTGGAGGCAGTGGCTCGGCAGGCTGGTATGGCTCAAAAGTGGGTGAGTATCCGGGTGGATTCGACGATTCCGGCTAAAAAAGCCAAATTCTTCATTTTTTAGGGCCAGGACCTGGAATGTTTTCAAAAATTGCTTGTCCCCAGCCTCCGCAGCTTTTGTGATGTTGTTTAGCATCCAATCCAGTGCTTTGACGGTGTCATCAGAGATCGGGGCGGGACCCTGGGGCTGAAAAATGTAAATAAAACTCTGTCTGTCGTTCTCTCTCTCTCTCTCTCGCTCTCTCTCTTTCTCTCTCACCTTCTGCCCTCTCTGCTGTGGGAAGACATCAGGCAGGGATGGTTGTTGTGGGCCCTGAAAACGTTGGGCTCCTATCGACGCTGGACGATCTACTGTACCTGATGGTGGTTAGGTCTATTTGATGGCATAATCGGTTTGTTCCAACCCTGAGCACGATGTTGTGGGGAATATGGCTGAATCTCCTCGGCGCTACCGTAACCGGAAGGAGCGATCGGAGGCTGAGGGGCGCTGGGCTGGAGGGAGCGGCTGAAATGTGGCATTTCGGCAGAGATCAGTGAGGAAGAGAGGGCAGGCTAGCAGAGATCGTTGAGGAAGAGAGGACAGGCTAGCAGAAATCGCTATGGAAAATCACCCACCTATCAACCTTGTTGTTGGCAAACATTGGGTTGGCACTGCTCAGCGGGCGAGTTCGAGCTGGGCTAAAACATCTCGTTTTCGCCAATTTTAAGAAAAAGGCAAATTGAGAAATCCGAACCTCTCGATCTCATTGTGCGCCTCCTCCATGAGGTAGATCTCCTCTTCGGGTTGCATTGGGGGAGGAGGTGCGCGGTGTTCCAAAGGCTTTGGCCTCCAGAATTGTCTCTGCAGGGCTCGGGCTTCTCGGTCCAAGGTGGCCGGGAACATCGAGACGAGCGGGTGCTCCTAAATATTGTTCCATTGCTCTCTCTCTCGCCCTCTCTCCCTCATTCTCTCTCTCTCGCCCTCTCTCCCTCATTCTCTCTCTCTCTCTCTCTCTCTCGCTCTCTATCTCTCGCATTCTCTCTTTCTCTCGCTCTCCCGACCTCAGCTCCTTCCAGCAGCTCCGTGGAGTCAAAGTCGAGCTGCTCGGCCTCGGGCTCGGGGATGAACAACGGCTAAAAACGGATGTTAAGCTTAGGCTTCTGCTTAGGGTTAGGTTTAGGCTTATGACATACCGGCTGTGGCCGTAGAGTTGGAGGAGGTGGTGGTGGAGGCGGAGGCCTCGTGGGGGGTACGGTAGCTAGCAGCTCCTGCGGCGGGTTTTCGAGCAGTTGCTCCTAAAAAACCACGTGAAAGGGAGTACGACGCTCGGAAAACGGGAATTTTCGAAGCACCGGGGCAGTAAGAAAACGGCCGTACCCTGGTGATGAACATTGGCTGGGATGGTTGGGGCAACTTCTGAATCGAATCCCCGGTTTGATGATGACGTTGCGGGGGTGGTGGTGGTGGTGACAGTGTCGTAGTTTGTACTTCCGGCTCCGGCTTGACCTCTGGCGTCTCTTTTCGGGGCTCCTCATCGAAGAAATTCTGAAATTCCTCTATGTTCTTTGCTAGTCTGTCCTGGCTTCCTTTAAGGGCCGCGCGCCCCCCCCCCCCCCATCAACAAATGACAACAGGCCAGGGGGGGGAGGGCGCGCCGGGGGGGGGGGGGGGGGACATTCTTTCCCGCGCGAACCAACCCCCGTCGCAACCCTTTATGATCTCTGCTAGCCTGCCTTCGCTTTCTAAATTCTCTTCCGCTCGACCCTTACCTGAACCTCGCGGTTCGAGAAATCGGACGGAAACTCGTCTGTCAATCCACCGTCAATAATCTTAAGATATTTTTTGCATAAAAATTCCATTATTAAGTTACCTTTCCGCCAAAGGAGATGTCCTCAAAATCATCGGTCAGTTCCGGCGCTTCTTCCTAAATTTTCTCTATGCAACTTGTGCGTAGGCCACAGCCAAGCCTCAGCTAAGCTAAAGACTTAGCCTAAGTAAGCCTAAGCCTAAACCAAAGCCTTAACCTCAGCCTAAGCCTAAGCCTAAGCTGATCCAATAAATTTTTCCGACTCACCACTTGGCCGCGTATTTTCGGTTGGACCCTCATTGGAACGGGGGGCGGGGTTGTAGGCCTAAAAAAATTAATGGTTCGGATTTCCACATTTCCTAAGGAATCTTTTCCAGCTTGCCACTTCAAAAGCTGAATGCTTAGGCTTAAGCTGCAGCTAGAAAGTTAAATCAGACCTTGGTTCCGGAGAAACCACTCTAGGTCTAGGTGTCGTCGCTGTCGTCGTGGTTGTACGCGTCGTTGTCGTTGTCGAGGTTGTCGGACGGGGCTAAATGTAAAAACTAAAGATTGCCCTTGCCACAGCACCTACCGTATCCCTCGTCGTCGGTTCCTCCACCCGTCTGGGTGACGCATTCAAGAAAGAGTCGCCGGCATTCCGCGTCTGTACTGATGGCGGTCTAAACACGTGAAGGATACGGTAGAGTGGTCAGTTTTTAGCGTACTCTTCAGAATTTTCGGCTGAATTCTCCGCGGTTTCGGCTTCTTCTTCGGCCTCCATCTCGATATTCTGGTCGATTTCTTCCTTGGTGGCTTCACGGTCGCGGTGGTGGCTAAATGAGGGATGTTTGCTCAATGATCTCTGCCAGCCTGCTCTCTCTCTCTCGCTCCCTCTCTCTCTCTCTCTCTCTCTCTCTCTCTCTCTGACCTATTCCCCATCGCGTGTATAGAGGAGCTGCGCGTAGGAGGTGGTGGAGGAGGTCCAGGTGGCTGTGGCTCAAACCCATCCTCCATCGGGTCGGCCAACCCGATCAGGCCGCCACGATTCGGGCCAATACGGGCCATCTCGGCCTCAGCAAGGAGGCGCTCATGCTCTAAATGGAACTTAGAGAGAGAGAGAGAGGGAGCGAGAGAGCGAGAGAGTGAGAGAAGGAGAGAGCGAGAGAGCGAGAGAGAGAGAGAGAGGAGAGAGAGGCCAAACTCCCCACCTTCCACAGCTGCCCACTTGGCCAACGCCTCCGTTTTTGAGCCCAGAATCCGGGGTTGCGCTGAAATTTGCATAAATTACTAATAGGTCAAAAAAAGCCACTCCAAAACGCTAGAAAAGCAATAGAAATTTGCTTAAGATTAAAATCAGGACCCAAAATCGATTAAACCGAATTCTTAAAAATCAAAAATAAAATTTAAACGAAAAGTAATTAAAAAATTGAAAATAAAGGTAAAATTCTTCTTTTTGGTTTTAGGTATTTTGACGATTTATCGGTTGGAACGCTGGTTTCATAAAATTCGCATTTTCGTTTCTTCAGTTTTCTTACGGTAGATGAGTGCTTCAGGCTATGGTAGTTTTGGATTTTGTATTGGGTTACTGTAGTTACTGTAGTTTTCATAATTAAGTTATATTATCATTATTCTGCCACATCTTCAGTGATAATTCCAGAATTTTCCTCATCGTCATCCCGTATCGTTTCGTAGCCTCTTTCAGCTTCGGAAATGACTTTGAAGTTTTGATTTCCGCCTTGTTTTGGTCTTACGGTAGTTCTCAAGCCCTCAAAATGATTGTCCAAGTTTGAAAAGCTAACATTAATCGCCTTAAAATCTTCTGAAATCATTTCCGGGCCCGGTACAGTCTCCACATTAATGTCAATAGGAGCCGCGCGTAGTTTCTGGAATCTTCTGACCAACTTCCGGCGAAATTTGACGGTGGGCGTCAAGTGGAGCGTCTCGGACTCGCGATCGATTTTTCTTGGGGTTCTAGATTTTGCCCCGACCACCGTAACCCTGCTTGAAAAGGCTTGAATGGCTTCGTTGTCGAGGGCCTCGGTGGCTTGGGGGATTTCCCTTTTTGAAGGGATTGTTTTCAGGGGTTCCAGGGTGCGTTGGGTACGGTAGTTCTGCTTCCTGAGGTTACGGTATCTTTTTTGAGCGCCCTCGGCAAACTCGATGTCTTCAAGGAGGTCGGCCTCTAGTGAGGCTGGGCTTTGGCGTTTTTCTGTAGAAAAGGGATTTTGACGGACAGTAAACTACAGGCTACAAAATCCATCTTGGAACCGGCAAAAAATCGGCTACAAACTACAAGTTACAGGCTTATTGAGCGAAACTACAGACTACGAAAATTAAGTCCAGTTACATACTACAAAAGAGGGGTATTGAATAGAACCAGGGCTGGTGTTGAAAAATCAGAGGATACAGACTACAAGCTACAACCACGAAATAGATCTTATGAGGCTCAAAGTACAAACAATAAAATACGAACTAGAAACTACAAGCTAACTACAAACTACAAGCTACACCCACTTCGCGTCTTCACCCCGGCCATCCGGCGCTTCAACTCGTTCGACCCCGGCGGGGGTGGCGTCTGAAATGTTCGTTTTACACTACAGACTACAAACTACAAAAAATTGGCACGAGAATCTGGGAAGTATTTTGCATACCGTGGGCTCCTCATCGTAGAGCTGCTTCATCGCCTCCTCGCGGTCCTGGGCCCACGGGTCGACGACGTCGTAGTCTAAAGGGATGGTTAATTCTGGACAACAAATCCGATACAAATATAAACTACAAACTACAAAGGAGGTATACCAGACTATAAACTAAAGACTACAAAGTGCAGACTACAAACTTTGTGCTAAAGAATACAGACTACAAATGACGGACTTTGGAGTACCTGAAGGCTAAGCTACAGACTACAGAGGAAAAACGACGGCGAAATGAGAATACAGACTACAAAATGTCATCTAAAACGACAGACTACAAACTACAGGCTAGACACGGTCAGGCAGCACTTTCTAGCCTACAAACTACAAACTACCACCTCAATTTCCAAGGCTATAAACACAAACTACAAACACAGACTACAATCTCGAGACTACAGGCTACAAACTACAATTTTTTAGATATTTTCTTACCGTCTATCCGCTTCCGGCCATCCCCGAAATTCGGGTCGAACGCGTCGCAGGGCTGGATTTCCTGGAAAAATGGGCAAGCTAGCAGAGACAATTTGGGAACGCACCTGATTCCTGCCGAGGCAAGAGAACCCTCTCACGGTATTACAGGCACGGACGCGCATCCGGACGCCGTTCGAGCAGAAGGACCACCCCGTCCATGTCGCCCACACCGACGCGTACACTGGAATGGCACGGAATGCGGGTTGGATTTTGTAGTTTGAACTTACAGACGTTGTCCCCGTCGGCGGGTTGGATTCCTGGCGGTCGAGGGGTGCCGAAACCCTGTAAAAAGGGCTTTGAAGGGACGCACAAGTTCGGCGAGGTATGGATTTCGACTTTAGTGGTTCTTGAAGTGACGAAAAATGCAGAAATTCCTATTTATTAAAGTTTCGGAACAAAAACGCTGGCTTAGAAAAGATCTCTTTAAAATGGGAAAAACGCCGGAAATTGAAACCTGATCAAAAAGGGCAAAAAAATTTTTTTTGCTGTTTTGAATCTTGCCGGGATTTTTTAGATTTAGCAATTTTAAAGTTTTTTGATAAAATTTTGGCGTTGTTTGGATTCTGGAACTTTTACAATTTTTTTCTCGCCATACCGGACCCTTTAAAACACCTAATTTTTTCAATTTATGCAAATTTCCCGACCCTGAACTGCTTCTGAATCTTGCCGGTGGGCGTCCACGGGGCTGTCGTCGTTCGTTTCGGCGTCTGGGCCTCTTCTGAATTTTCAGAGGAAGTAAAATTTAAATTTTTCATTTCCTTACCTGCCAGGGATACTGTAGCAAATATAAATATAGATAATAAGCAGCTGATCCCCGGGCGCCACCTCATTTTGCCTAAAAAATTTAGGTAAAACCGGAAAATGTAAAATTCCGGGCGTTGAGAAATATTTAGAAATATTCCAAAATGGATCTTAGTAAAATTTAGGCTAAAAGATGGAATTCCAGTTTTTAAGGGTTCTAAGCCTAACAAGCCGAATCTTAAGCCTAAACCTAAGCCCAATCCCAAGCCTAGCCTAAGCTCAGGCTCGGTTCTTCCGGAATTCCCGGAATTCAACCGGAAAGTAACGGTATGGTTTAGCCAAGGGGATAAGTGAAAGCAGCAATCCATTTGCGGGGGGATATAGTGAGACAATAGGGCGATTACGGGGAGAGACAGGTCACTGTATAGGGGAGAGAGAGAGAGAGACAGAGAGACAGAGATGGAGAGAGGGATAGCAAGGCAATCCCTTGGAACCTAACGGAAAGGGGAAACGACAGATCTCACCCACCCTTTCACCCGACCCAAATTTGATCATTTCTCCCCCCAATTCCCCCGAGGCCTCGAGGCGATTTGCACGATTGTATGGAATTTAAAGATATGTAAAATGGACGTATGTGTACTATTTACAGGTTGCGAGTACGGTAGGAATACGGCAAAGAGGGCCAGGTCCAATAAGAATTGAGAATTGCATCAGAAATATTTATTTTTAAAAAATGATATAGTTTAGGTTCCGGGCGACAATACTAGCCAAGCCAGGTCACGCTACGCTTTGATACTTTACGATTACGCTAGCACAAATTACGCAATACACAAAATTATAGAAGCCAAGTAACTTGCCGTAAGTTTTGTATGGAGCGTACTTTCAACGGTTAGACCGCGTATATCGTAAATTTGCTCCTCTACGATTAGCTTCATTACAATACGCTACACTACGACGAGATACGTTAGCTTACGCTATGCTACGATAAGCTACGACCTGTTACACTTGGATACGCAACGATACGCTACGATACGTTTGGTGCGTATGTACGTACGTTACGGTAAGTTACGGTGCGTTAAGGTACGTTAGGCTACGATGTGATGCTCCGGCTTGACGAGATAAGTGGTCTTCCGCTATGTTACGATCGCTACGCTTCGATGCGCTAGGATAGGAAACGATCCGTTACGATGTGCTGCACTACGCCTTGGTACGGTTACGGGTTGGTACTAGTACGTACTATACAAAAACAGTACCTACCGTACCCACAAACTTGACCCCCAAATGCAACACGCCCATCCTTGCAAAAGTGAAAAAGGGCAATAAATAACACACACAGAATGGGGGGGAAGGGGGAGAAGAATGGGGGTCCGGCTTTTGGATGGGCGAGAACGATGGATTGGATCGGGCGGATCGGAAATCGGTTGGGTGTCGATCCCGAAGATGAAGCCATCTCCCCTAGCCTGCCTCGAGTCGGGATTCGCGAAAGTGGGTGAGACCGGGAATTTCCACAATAGCGGGTGGACGATGAAGACAACCTGATCAGGCCGCGCCTTTCGACCTGTCCCCCCTCACTCGCTCACTGCCCTGGAAGGATCGGCGCAGGCCGGCAGATTTGAGGAGGTGATTTCAGGGAGAGTGCCGTGCAATCCGGAACGATGGAAATGGCTGCTAGAGGGACTTGACTTGAGTCTAACTGCAAAGTGTTTTCACATAGGATGGAAATTCCATTCTGGACCAAGGCTATTTTGTGCAGAATTTTTCGCTGATTCCGAGTCTGCTTTCCAAGTCTGCTGAAGAGTCCGCTTTAAAAAGGTAAACCTATTTTTTTACAAACCGACCGAAAATAGTCGATTTTAAATCCCTCTAAAAATCTTGTAGAATACTTTTTGGATAAACACAGACGCTATCCTGGGCTCTCCTCAAAAGATGCTCTTTCGAATGGGCTTACGGACACGTATCACAAAATTCGTAAAAACGCTTTTTTGTCGCGGGAAGGGTCAGTGGGCCAGAGCCAAAAGGTTGAGACGGCAAAGCTTCAAAAATTAGTCGAATTACAAAACCTAGGCGCAAGCCCAAGTCTAACGAGCTTGTAAGCCTAAGCCTAAGCCTAAGCAGAAGCAAAGCCTAACCCAAGCCTATGCCTATGTTAAACCTAAGCAAAAGCTAAACTTTTGGCACACGCAGAAGCCTAAGCATCTGCTCAAGCCTAAGCCTAATCCTGAGCCTAGACCCAGCAATGAGCCTATGCCTATGCCTGAACCTAATTCTAGGCCAAAGCAGATGCCTAAGCCTAGGCCTGAGCCTAAGCCTGTCCCTAAGCCTAAACGCTTAAGCGTAAGCAGAATTTAACCTAAGCCCAGGCCTAACAATAAGTTTTTTCCGGTTTTCAATTTTTTTTCTGATGAAAACGCTCATTTCAAACCAAAAATTTTTGCCAATACGATGGCGATATTTGTTTTGCAAAAATCAGCCGTGAAAATCATACTAACCGAGCTCGAAGAGATTTTTAAAGCTTTTCGGTCGTGCTCCATGCTCATAGGGCCGAGCTTAGACTCAGGCTTAGGCTGGGCCAAAGCTTAGGGGCCCAAGTCGCTCTTTGAACCCTTCTCACTTTGATTGTTCGACTCCCAAAATGTTGTCTCCCCCACTTGTGATCTGTGTTTTCCGATGCCTATTTCCCACTCTAGCTTTCCATCTACGTGCTACACTCTCCTCTTTAAAAAGTTTTCAGCCGTTTTTTTCTGTTTTTGCAGGTGTTTCCGTTCCGTTCCATGCCTCCCTTCCATCCGGGGTGGCCACGCGGATTGTCCGGGGGCAAATTTGCGCAGCCGGTAGATGAGGAGGGCCGGGCCCTAAGCCCGTCGACCTGTAAAAGGTGCCGCCCGATGCCGGAAATTCCATTTTATTCCCCCCGGAATTCCGATCGGGATGTCTCGGCTCGCCGTTCTCATCGTCCTGGTTGTCGTGGTAAAACTTTGGAAACCGTTTTAAAGGGCTCAGAAAGTCAGCGGCTAGTCGATTTGAGTGTTTAAGGACATCGGAAAGTAAAAATATAACATAGTTTGGAGTTTAAAGGGACGGTGAAGTCAAAAACGAGCTTAATTTCGTAAGTAAAGCAATTTTACCAAGAATATACTAGTATTAATCGTAAAACCGTAAGGTATCTTCCAAAATTCGATAAATTGCTGCCTTTCCAAGTCGTGTTAGGACCCTTTTCCGAGTGATTCATACCGTAATTACCATCTTATTTGATTCCCCGGCATTTTCTTTTGGGCCCATTAATGCGTAGAAGACAATTTGAGCAAAAATCCCGACACGCAAAAATTCGACTACCAAAATACCGACAGTCCTAAATACCGACTGCCAAAATCCCGAAAGATCAAAATACCGACAGGCCTAAAAACCGACTAGACCAAAATCGCGACATCCAAAACGCCGACACGCAAAATCCCGACGTTTTCTTGGCGCAAGGTCGAACAGCTATTTTGCATGTCGGCATTTTGGCCTGTCGGCATTTTGGTTGTCGAGATTCCAACTGTCGTGTTTTTGGCTTGTCGGTATTTTGGCCTGTCGGGATTTTGATTAGGGTTTCAGAATTATGGCTGTCGGTATTTTGGCATTTCCCCTTTTACAAAAACCAAAATTTTATTCAAGTTTTTTTCAGGCTTTCCAACTTGCGACAGCCGAGGTTTGCAAGGACTACCTGCCATGGTAATTTTTCAGTTTCTAGCGAGTCCTGGCGAAGGGTAAAATTCAGATCAAAACTCTGTTTTCAGGTGCACGCAAGGCATGTGCGAGACCGGGGTTCAGAAGGCGAAGATTGTCGAGACGATCCAGAGCGATTCGGTATCTGAAAAGGCCAAGACTTTCCAGGTGATTTTTGATTCCTCAATGATCTCTGCTCGCCTGCCCTCACTTCCACAATGCTCTCTGCTAGCCTGCCCTCACCTCCACAATGGCGCCTGCCCTCACTTCCTCATGCTCTCTGCTCGCCTGCCTCACCTCCACAATGCTCTCTGCTAGCCTGCCCTCCCCTTCCTCAATGATCTCTGCTAGCCTGCCCCCCCTTTCCTCAATGATCGCTGCTAGCCTGCCCTAGCTTCTCATAACTGCTTCTCATTTCAGCTGGACGAGAACTACGACAAGCCGCTGCATGAGCTCTGCGCCAAGAAGTGCGGTCTATGCAAATAATTCTTCGGCCTAGAAATCGATGGAATAGGCGACTATTAATGCGTATATATGTACTGCAAAATAAACATCTTGCCCTGTTGTTTTTTAGATTTCAAAAAAGGATGTTGTCTTGAATTTTCGGAGCAACAACTCGATTTTTGAGCGCGAAGCCCTAAGCCAGCGCCCGAAACCCCAAACTTTTCGGGGTGCTACAAAATGTTTGGGTCGACCTGGCTGGCCTCTGGATTAGGCGGAAGATCGGAAAGAAAATACGGAAAATGTGCTGAAAAGTTCAAAAATCCACATCACAACAATATTTTTTTGATGCCGAGAGGTCGATATGAAAATTCGAGAAAGAGCGCGAGAGCCAGAGCGAGAGCAAGAGAGCGCGAGAGAGAGAACGAGAGAGAGAAATAGGTAGAGAGTGAAAAAGAGAGAGAGCGAGAGAGAGAGAGAGAGAGAGAGAGAGAGAGAGAGAGAAAGCAGAGGTACCTTGTGGAATTTGACATCTTGGGGGGCAAGCTAGCAGATATTCTTTAGGTAATTACTCCCAATTAAGGGCAACCAAGCATTGATTCTTTGCGGAATTTCATATTTTGAAGGGCAAGCTGGCAGAGATTCTTGGGGAATTTCGTGTTTTGAGGGCAAGCTAGCAGAGATGATTTAGGAAATCGCGCAAATCCTAGCAGAATTGCAGGTTTTTCCGGGCAAACTAGCCGCAACCTTTCAGGCTCCCCAAAACGAGTCTCGTCCTCAGGTGTAAGGAGATTTAAGCCCCCATCTTAAGGGGATTATACCTATCCAAATAAACGGTTACAAACAGTCCCCCTCACCCTCAATAATTACCAGTTCCATCGATTGCAGCTGTCACTTCAGTGGTCCGTTAATCCCCCCTCCGGGCGCGCGTCCCCAATTTCAC